CCCCAAAACCCCAAAACCCCATACGGCTGCATTATTTTGTCTAAAAATTAAGTTTAGAATATAATTAAATATTAAGTACAGAGATGATCTTAGATTTTGCCAAACTCTTTACACTCCAATGTGCTCTATTGTCTAAATCTATGGACTTCAATTATGAGTTGAATCTGAATGTGATCTTTATTGATGTTCCAAGTATCTAAATGGGCTATGAGGGATTCAATTGGTTTAGTGAATAAGAGAATAACATAAAGATGATTGAGACCTTTGATCAATCTTTTAACATGGTATAAGGAATGCACAGGACTAGAGCAGTTTTTTAAGGCTTCTCAAGAGATAACATAGTAGTCTACTATGAAAGAGACATGTATTCAAAGGCTCATATAGTAAACATTATGGAGTAGTTATAGCAAGACTATTTAAAAAATAATGTGAGGCTAAGACTTTACTTTGGTACTTCAAAACCAGGATAAACACTCTAAAGTCTTATTGACTCATACTGGAAGCTAAAACCTAAAGATATAACTTTTAGTGGTAGTATCGAGGCAATAGTGGATTATGAACTTAATTATCTTTTTGAAATGTTCAGACAATGGAGAGTAAAGTAAGAAGTCAAAAAGCATTTCGGGTTTACAAGCAAGAACATCATGGAGTTCAAGAATGAATTCCTTGAATTGCTTAAGATGCCTCCAAAGAAAGACTTTTTTGTGTATCTATGGGCTGATGATTGCCCAAAATGCAAAGAAGTCTATTAGTTTTATAATGATTTAGCAGACAATCTTAAAGATGTCTCTAGTGTCCATGTAGCCTAGACTGACATGACAGCTTCTATCTTCTGGGGTATTTGGCCTTACGGTCTTCCATACTGCAGATTTTATGTCCATACTATAACTAACAACTTTGAATATGTGTATGAGTAATACACCATAGAAGCTTATTTGAAATTTTTGAAGAAGAAGTCAACCAATTTCTCTAAATACTTGATAGATTAGAAAAAGAGAAAGGCTTTTCCTCCTACTCTTGAGTAAATTGAAAGGGACTGGCATGTTAGACACTGTGTTAATTTAGAAAAGAATCCTAAAATGCTAATGGATCATTTAAGGTACTGGAACCCAGATTATGAAAGCATTGTAGAGCTAGTAGTATAAGAAGAAAAATATAGAAAATCAGATGGCTATAACATATATGTTACAGATACCTATGAAGGAATAACTCTTGGTCAACCATTCTTCAGAATTGTGAGAAAAACATCTGGAAATAATGTTGGCGTTATATTGGTAGGGTAGCCATTGGCTAGTTAGGATAAGAGAGATAACTTTTTAATGCTAGCTAAGTCAGGATAGATGATTATGGGAATCTAAAGTTATAGAAACTACCCACATTTCAGTAGATGGGAAGATGATTCAGACTCTTCGATTCAATCTCTAAGAGAAAGATGGCAAAAGGAATACTTCAAAAATTTTGCAGGATGGTTGCATAATATGGATGAGCCCCATAAACACTGGAATAGCTAGCTTCCAAGACTGAATTTTGCTGAATCTGACTTGCAATTCTCTATGGTCAAAGCCTTTTGGCCTGATAATTTTAATGCAAGTGATCCAAAGATATATGATTTAGCTCTCACTCACACAGGAAATACAAGTTGGCATATGGATGTCAAGAATTGGACTCTTGCAACGAAATGTATTGATAAAATGCTTGAATCTGGAAAGTACACCTTCAAGTTACTTGGCAGAAAACCACCTGAAGAATATGAAGATAAGTTCCCTTATATAGAATTCGCCCCATTTAAGGAATTTTTGGGTTACGTAGGTTAAGCAGAAATTTTACTTATAACTAGCATGTCTGATGCCTCTCCAAGAATTCTTACTTAAGCTCTAGCTTTGAATGTTGCTGTTATACTTAACAAACATATCTATGGAGGCAAAAAATATATTAATGAACAAACAGGCTCACTAATTGAAACTGAAGATGATCTTTTTGAGGCCATTGAGGATATAAAGAGAAGGAGAAGAGAAGGTATCCTATAACCAAGAAAATGGTTTGAATAATACTCTGAACTTATTCATCAGAAGTTGGAGGTCTTCACCGAGATGATAAGAAAAGAGCAAGGATGGGATTTAGATATTAATGGTTATCGTGAAGATATTACAACTATGATCTGATGGTAATTTAGAATTAAACATCTAACACTCATTAGTTAAATTTATTTCATAAAATCCTTTTTAAAATTGATGCAAATACTTAATTTATGGGGTTTTGGGGTTTTGGGGTTTTGGGG